ACAGTTTTGTAAAACCGATGGACTGCAGATCTGATGCATTCGCGAGAAGAGAGAGAGAGAGAGAGAATTGGTAGAAGGAAAACATAAAATAAAAGAGATTAAAATGAAGAGATTAAAAGGACTTTCGCGGAGTTAATCCCGCGAAGAAATAAAATGCCGAATCAAGAGAAAATTCTCCGCGCAGACAAGAGATTTTACACATTCCTGGTGCGCGTCGCAAAACACAAAGCTTTAATAAAGTGGTCGCTAATTAAATTCCCCGCTCCCTTACGGCGGACGCTGATCCCTCCGTGCTCCTATAAAGCACCCTGAAAAAAAGCCGAAAATTTACATTCGGATCCCTAGATTTCCATAATTATTTCCGCCACAAAAGGTAACCGGCGTCTACAAAACGCTCCAGACACGGTGGATTAATATAATCGCTTGAACCGTTCAACTCGCGGCCAAGGTTACACCTTTAATCCTGTCATAACCCCAACAATGATCTCGCCTAATTCGCGATGCCGGCGCGACACCGCTCGGAGAGCACCGAACAACTCGGAATTGCAAAACATGCTGGTAGGTTGCGGATCTTCGTGCATTTCTGAGAAAAATGTGTGAAACGTGTCTAAAAAAATAACGCTGAAATTAATAGTTCATTATTAATTACGAAAATACAAATGCCTTTCGAATCAGCGTTCGCAGCTGCCATTTTCATAAGCCTACGAACATCAAAAGTCGATAAAAGAATTAAAACTGCGATTGCTGTTACTTAAATGTCACAAATTATGAATATTAAACGCATAAAAAATTATGAGATTAATTTTTAGAAGATTGCTCGCTATAAAACGTCAGATTTCATTACTCTTATAAAATACCGCAGTATTTGGGGCGGCCGTGGTAACAGCCACGCTTACCCTCGCAGATCCGTGTCGGAAATAATTGTTTAATGAAAATTCAGCGTCGACTGGCGTGATTGGGGTTGGCCAAAAGGAAAACAGTTTCGCGCGGGCGTGAAACGGCGCGCGGCGACTCGTTGGAACGAGCCGGTCGTAGTCGCATTTAAATTCTACATTCAGTCGCAATATCCCGGGACGAATCACGGTACAATAAGTGGCACCAGATGGTGCCTCCTAATAAGCGGCGCACCTTCGCACCCTCCATCACCGGGGCGGCCAACCCCGCGCGCCGCCCCGGTCCGATCTAATTCGAGCCGGGCTGCGCGAAAGACGTGGCTCGTGCAACTTCAATTAACAAATTCTTGCCGGAGGAATCTCTGCGACTCTAATTAGGGGTGGCGGCCGGAGAAATTCTGCCGAGGTGATTCTGTTTCGTGGTAATTTGTTTAAAAATATTGCGGCCCGCCGAACGGCTCGATGCTCGGGAAATTGATACGATATTGAGATGAAACGGGGATTCCGTCCACTAAATGGAAAACTGGCTGCGGGGAAGAGCGGTGCATTGCTCGAATTGTTTAGAACAATTTAAATATAATCTTGGAATAATTCAGGAATAATTTATTCTTCGAATGAATTTTAATATACTTTTAGTTGAATCATTTTAGTTACACATTGTATAAGTAGATATTGTACAAGTGCATATTGCACAAATGCATATGGTACAAGTGCATGCTAAGGGAGAAAGTTCTGCGATTAAGAAATTATGAATAAGAATTGACGAGAACTCGCATGAAAGCTAAAGGTTCGCATAAAAATCGGAGATTGTGAAAGAAAAAAATGTGACACGTAAGATCAGCTGATTTTTATGAAACATCAGTAGACCGTCGACATAACCTAAATGTTCTCACGTAAACCGATTAGAAAAATCGAGCAAGTCGGACACAATTTTACTAATTTCTACCATTGACAAGTCAATTAATTCGCGGAAAAATCCGCGGCCGAGAAAAATGCTGTTTCAAGTAAAAAAAAAAAAAGAAGAAAAAGACAAACCTGCCGGTTCGAAGTTCATGGGTCAGACGGCGCAGCAGCTGAAGCAATTCTCTAGCAGCTGGCGCGCGAAAGGAACTGCAGACTCGACTGCGCTAAACCGTAGTTATCGAATTGCCGTCTCAATTAAAACTTTTTCGGTAACCTGCGCGAACTTTTGTTATGGTAACCCGACGCTCGGGCATCCGAACGGGGTCGAGGTTCGCTGGTCCGGCGGAACAGTTTCGGGGGGGAGCTTGGGCGACCAGCCGAAGTCGCATAAATCTGAGGAATTGTTTTGTCGCGTTACGGGGCGCGTCGCGACGCGATTCGATCAGCCGTCGCGACGAAGTCTCGAGAAGCCAACAAGTCGAAGCGCGAAAGCTCGGCGTGCAATCGACAAGCGGAATGCGATTAGGAGCCACTTAGACGCTGTTGTGTCCTGGAGCCGGCGTCTCCGGAGGATCATCCCATTATCGAGTGTCCCGGAACGGCGGCTGGGATGTCGGCCGGAGGTTCGTTGGCCTTTTCTCATCGTCGCGTCGTCACGAGTTTCGTAGGTAGAGGTCGTTAAAAAGTCCTGTGCTCTCGATCTCACGGCCCGCTCCTCACGACCAAGGACAAGAAGAAGGAGGAGGAGGATCGAGGATGATCCAGCTCGACGAAAACGGAGGAAGACAAATCGAGAACCGGACCGGAGAATAAAATGGCTCCGGCGAGGATAGCCGAGGCGAGAGAGGATCCTGTTGCTGGGAGCAGCTGGGCTCATCTTCGCTTCGTTCTAACCTTGGCTATCTCTATCGCATTCGACTCCTGTCGCCCGGACTCGGATTTTCATTTACTTTCGCTGCGACGTACGGATAAACGAAGCGACGCAGCGGCTAAATTCTCTCAGGAGCATTTCCACGTCTCCGAGCAATTATAAAATCGAAGATCCGAGATTAATTTGAGAATTTTTACGACGATCTTCGGTTTCGAGGGACGGAAGTTAAATTGAAATGTGTTTCTTCGTTTTACTATTTTTTATCCCGGTGAAACTAAGGTAACATTATTCTTAATCGCTTGATCATTTATTACGTTTTTTATTACATGTCTCAGCATCGAATTAGAGTGTCTCAGCGACGCGTTGCAACGATTAGACAGTTCTATGTCAGAATCCTGTTCAGTCCAATCAAACAACTTTTGAATAACATTTAAATGCTCGCATAGTTTTGTATTTCAGTCATTTTTGTCGCGAATGCGTACAAATCCGCAGCAGTTTAGCGACAAGCTTCTCAGATTAAAAATCCAGTCGCACCCTTCGGGATCGTCGAAACGAAAACGACACCCTTTCGCTCGATCTTATTAAACGTTCAAAATGACAAAACCCCTCGCGAACGAAACGTTCGATCGCCTGCATGAAAACGAAACGCGTGTCTCAAATATTCTGCAACCGAGATCGATTCAACAAACCGGAGATTCGAAGCGAACACGATGTGAATCGCGAACACCGTGAAACGGTGATCCTGAAAATTTGTTGTACGAAATAATATTCGAGCATCGACGGAGGACGCCGCGAAAAGGAAAGAGTGAAGGTCGAGGGCGAAGGGGAGGAAGGGAGGTAGGGCACCCACAGGGTGGGGGTTAAATAGACGATTAAGTGGCGGAGGAGGGAAGGGAACGAGCGTGGTTGAGTGTCGGGCATCGAACTCTCGGGCGCTCGGCACTCGGCACAAACACGAGGACGCGTTACGTCGAGCGAGCAATCATGCGGTATGTGGAGGTATATCCCGGGAAGAGACATTGCGAGGCCACGTGAAATAGACTTGCAGGACTCGAGAGTTGAGACTTGAGAGTGAACTTAACGGTGCTCGAATTGCCGACGATCGTGCGAACCGCGCTCTACCGGCACGACCTTATGACTGATTTCAATCGCGTCCGCACGACTCTATGCTTTAATCGACGGCTCGCCGTGCCATGGCACCGGTGACCCCATCATCTCTCTCTCTCTAGTGCCGTGTCGTGTCGTGAAGCATGTTCGATTAACACCGGGTTTCAACTATCCCCGCGAACTGCGGATTGCGGATTGCTCGGAGTTTAGAGAATTTGACTGGCAGGCTTCGCTCGTGGGCTCGTATTAGAGCTCGTACTGTTATACCGTAGACCGTGGACGGACGAAATGACCCGCATTAACTCTTCAAAGCCATTATGGGAACGTCGTCCGAAACTATGCTAGCTGCGTTTATAGCGGGAGGTATGGGAGAACCCGGTCTCCGGGGTCCCTACCGTCGCGTCGTTATAGCCAGTGTCGGTAAATAGAAGGAAAATGATGTTCCGCGAACACCACCGTGTGCTCGACGCAACAGCCATGTTCGGAACGTTCGCGGGAATCGTGTTAAATCTGCAACGATCCACGGAAGTCGCATTCTTTGAAGCTGTTAGGATATATATCGCCCCCGCCTAACTAAACATTTATACCGGCATCGCGGGCGTACACGCGAGTACTACTTTCCGACGCAGCCCTCGAGCATCCGCAAACACTTATCGTAACGGGGAACCAATTTAGAAACTGCAGTGGCAAAGAATTCGCGTCCGAACTCTCGACACCGTGCAAACCCATTGCGCTGGAACGCAAGTCGGACTCGTCGCGAAGATTTCGTATGTGATCTATTGAATAAAAATATTATTCATATTTTCGAATCGAATTTTGATTCTTCTGTTATCGAAATCTAGGAAAGGAAACGAAACGAAGACATTCGAGAAAGAAAAATTGTCTCGTCCTATCTGGGAAATTATTGAGGACGAAGAATAGCTAATCGAGGCGGCTGCGAAAGAAATCATAGCGCAAAGGGTTAAAGTTGTCTTCCGTTCTATCATCCATCCTGAAACGAATGCCAATCGAATCTTTTCTTCGCGGATTTAACGTTGTTTCCTGTACCAAGAATAATGTGGAATTATGCGATCGATATGGTAACTTTTTAGTTCGCTTTCGTTGTCGAAGAATTCGAGAAACGTTACCATATAATTGGACGGAACAAATGTTCGGGAAGGATGAGTGGACTATGAAATCGGATGCTACCTTGTACAGGATGAAAGCGATGTAACGAGAGAACTCACCGTATAATAACGCAGGCTGTGACAGGTCGAGAATTAATCCTATACTTGCAAAAAGTTCCACCGGTTCTTCCTGTAACACGAACAAAATCATTTCTGATTAATGAGCGGAATTCGCTCTTGAAAGGAAGAGAATAAAAATCTGAGGAAACGCACGGAAATGAACGGTACAAGTTGGAATCATATCTTAGGTTCGTGAGCCAAACAATTCTCAACTTCTAATTCGACAAATAAACGTACGTCGGCCTGCGTGGTAAACGTTTTATGCGAACAGAAACATCTGTAATTCAGTTCACAGAAAGTGGATGCGATTAATTCGATTTCTTCTTCAAGATAACAGTACTTTTAATAGAACGTGTATTCATAAAGCAAGCATCTCTATAATTCTGTTGATTACTATAATATATCGATTAAATTGCTCCTATACAATTTTTCTTTGAAAATCGTCCTATCTTCAAAGAATCTATTCAGCCAACAAAAATGTCTCTGCAATTAATACAGTACTTTTAACAGAGCGTGTGTTCATAAAGCAAGAACCCCTATAATTCTATCGATTACTATAATCTATTGATTAAAGTGCCCCCATGCAATTTTTCTTTGAAAATCGTCCTATCTTCAAAGAATCTATTCAGCCAACAAAAACGTTCCCGCGATTAATCCAAAATAGTAAGATCATTAATAATCGTCGACGTTCTCTTCCATCGCGAAAATTTGCGAACTCTCTAAATGCTTAAAAAACTACGCGAATATTTTTATTCAAGAGACGCTGAATGAAATCCAAAATCTAGACTAACCTACAACCCCGGTGTAATCGAGAGAAGCTGATCATTCGCTCGGCAATGACTTCATCGGGTCGTGGCAAGCCTAAACGATGCAACGCTGTTTTCAATAGGATGCGCAATCGTCGCCGCGGCTTTTTTATCGCATCGTAAACGAGCTTCTGATAACCACGCGAAACCGTGTAGTCTGTCCGAGCCGACTGCATGAATCTAGCTCAATTACGCGCGATGCATGAATGTCTTAAAACGTACAAACACGTCGGACACCGTTAGATCGAGCGACCCGCGTTGCCTCCTGTCCGACTTCTATCTACAGTAATGACTCTCTAATTGACGCTCAGATTGTACACAAAAAAATGGACAATTTGGGGGAAGAGGAGATACGATTATTCGAGCTTTGAGTCTCGTTTTTATAGTTGTTGAGAATATTATTATATTATAAATTATATATTAAATTATATTATATTATATAAAAACAAGGCACAAGACTCAAATTAATCGTACCTCCTCTTCCCAAATTGTCCATTTTTCTCCACAATCGGAGCGTCAGTTAGGGAGACATTACTGTATCGACTTGAGTGACTGTCTCGCCGGTATTGGCAGCCTTCCTTCCGGTAGCACGTTATCGGATCGTTGCCGCGCGAATCCGCGGAACACGAAGAAAATGGACAGCATCCGATTCCAGCTGACCTTGAAATGGAAACGCAAGGTAAACGACCCTGCCCGATGCAGACGAATGCGATTGCTTCATATCGTAAGTAGACTACGGGGGTCTCCTCTGTGCGCGAATTCGCGTTTTTACGTGCCAGTTCATCGAAACGGAAATGGCGCGGTCTTATCTGAATAAACGATTCCGCTGGAGGGAGAAGGGAATTGAACCGGTATCTTATTTACGAGACTGTAGTTAATGGAACTCTGTAATAGGCGCATACAGGCCGGCAATAATCGTTCCAGATAAGTAAATTGCAGATCTTCGTGCATTCATGGCATATGCAAATTTTCGAACTACAGTAAGTTCTCCCTAATTCGCTCTCGGCTTGTAAACAAAAATGGACAATTTCGGACGAGGAGATACGATTAAATACGCACAAATTTAACCGCGAGCCTCGAATAATCGTGTTTTCTCTTCCCAAATTGTCCATCCATTGCTTACAAACTGAAAGAAAATCCGGAAATTTTGTTGTTATTGTGATCGAACGCGAGGAATTGCGAGACTGGAATTTAGCATTATTTAAACATTTTTGCTGAATAATACCGTTCGAACGTGTTCATTAGAAACGCGAGCGAAAGAAAATTTTTAATGAACCGTAAAAGTTTGTAATCTACGGACGAGATCTTTCAGCAATGACCAATGGAACGCAGAAATTAACGTGCTCTCTTGTCTCCGCGTAAAATCCGTGCATACGACTAAACGGAACTTTTAATGAAGCAACACGAACATTCGTTCGGTTTCCTTGCAACAAAATCTTTTACCAAGAGAACATAAAATACGAGATCCAGCCGTCACGAAAGTTACCTTTGCTTTCTTGCGCAGCTATTTTCGAAACTTCCGTTACTCCGCGGAATAATTAACGAGCATAACGATTTACAAATAGGCTCTGCAAATGTTTCGAGCGCATTAACAAAACGACGAAGTCTGATCGGAAGGCTGAATTCCTCGAGAACAAACCCAATTCCGATCGTTTCGCCGTTCACGGCCGTTCGAACGGTCGCCGAGCAGAACTCGCCGTTCGGTCGCGATAATTGCTGGCCTTGATCAACGCGTCGAATTCGCGATAAAAAGCGGCGACACGCGGCATGAAAAAGAAAAAGAACGTTGTACCCGGGGACAGATTAATACCGGCGCGCGGATATAATCCGTGAAATTGCGCTCGGCGCTCGGCGAACCGAACGCAAACACGAGGGTCAGTAGCCTGGAAGATGGTGTTGCAACAAGCAGCTCGGCGACCTCGCAAACTGGTTTCGCACAAGTCAAGATCTAGATCGCGACCTTCTCGGAGCTGTACGCGGGATCTGACCTCGGGATCCGAGCCGACTCTCGGGGCAGCCTCGGGAAAAGCGGAGGCCGAACCAAAGGAAATTAAAAGTAAATAAAGCCGGCGAGGTTCGATTGATTTTATATCGTTGCACACGATTCAGCGAACGTCTCGCAGCTTGAAAGTCTGCCCCATCGATTCGCGAGTCGGTCGGACCCGTTTTAAATAAACCAGGCTCCTCCGAATGCTCCTTTCGCGACGCGACTATTGTCGAATAATGTTTAGCGTACGTAAATCGGCTTTCTGTTAACGCCAGATTTTTCGGAGCGCTGAAACCAAATAATTGTTGTAATATTTGCCGCAGGTAACGCGTGCATCGAATAAGAAACTCGTAAATGTATTTTTTACGAGCTGAACAATTGTGAATTAAAGGATTAGCGACGTTCGAAATGAATGTTAAACTGACAGTTAGAAAACGAGGATAATCGAAGAAGAAAATAAAGATGACAGAAGAAGACAAAAATTCGATGTTTTCAGTGTGCAATGCGCACAGTCGATAGATATTCCTGCCTACCGAGATGCGCGACACGTGCACGGTTCAATCGCAACAATATCCGCTAGAATTCACTCGAATTGCAAAGTGGTTAACCATGATCATGACGCAAAAGCAATTTGAGAAACGACTCGTCGCACTGCATTTCGCGATAATGCATTATAAGTGGGAATAACATAATGTAACGTTCACGCGTGACCATAAGCATGGGTAGTTACAATTAATCATTATGTTCCATGCTCGCTACGAACACGATAAACGTCGACCATTCGCTGGTTAAATTAATTACTTATATTTTGTAGAAGTAGCAGTGACACTTCCGAGGCGCGACTCGAATTTTGCAAGAGAAAACTAAGCTTCGCGATGTTCTTTTATTGCTGACAGAAATAAAATAACATAAAATAATATTAGGTACGTAAACTCCAGTAAAATAATGATTTAAGGTTTGAAGTTTGATCCGCTTCGCTAAAAATATGATCGAGCCTGTCTGCCCGCTTGGTTTTTGAAGTCGCGACGAAATAACTTGACCGTACAGATAATGAAAAAATAAAATAATATTAATAACAAAATAAATTGCCAATGCTTAAGACTTCGATCGACTATGATACATTCCTCCAAGGAAACTCCGTCGAAGATTTTTCAAAATCCTGGCCCCGAAAGCGACGACGTACGCGTCGTCCGACGTTTGTCTTTTTCCCCAGAGGAAACTGTTCACTGGAACGGCAAACCGCAGCATAATTCCCGCTTTCGTACCGAGCCGCTAAAAACATATCATAAACGGTCGGCGTCGCCGTCGCGCCATATGTTTTTATGCTCCGATGAATGAATTGTAGCTTTTCATCCAGTACACAGCGAAATATCACAATTACGGGGCGAGGAGATGCACAGTTACCGTGTTTTCTTTGCTAATTAAAGTGTAGAGCGTAGAGACATTCGCGTTCGCATTTACGTTCACATTTACATTCACGTTTACATTTACATTCACATTTACATTATGGGAGCGAACCGTAACAGGACCGCCATTATTTTTCATTTACTGTTACCCCGTGCTAATTTCCCGCGTTGCGTTAAACGTCGGTTTCATAACAGAGAGAAAGAGCGAGAGAGAGAGAGAGAGAGCAACGCGCGATACTTTGTAATCAGATTATTAGGACAACCGATTACCGGGGGCTGTACAGCGGCATAATGACACCGGCGGCGTTTTAAACGGGAATAACGGCGTCGTTACTTCTTTGCATTAGTTATGATACAACATAGACCGATCGCCGGGATCGAACGGCGTTACAGGGCTCGTTAGCCGGCGATTTAGCAAAATTCGCCGGATTTGCCAGAGGGTTTACCAGGATACCGAACGCGATCCCGATCCCGATCCCGATTTCTCGACCTGCCGAACTCTGTTTCCCGAATATTTGCGCTCTCGATCGATCCAATTTCCATGCGATTTCCCGCGTTAAACGCGAATACGACTCGTTACGGCTCGTTACAAGTGCCATAAACGAACCGCCGATTAATAGACGTTTTTCCTGTCGAATGCCTAATATTCGCAGATCGGATATCGACCACTCGATAATCGGAATCGCATTGAATCGCAGATCTTGCAGCTAAAGATCTGCCCGCTAGAGATTAAAAATAACAAGCGCGATTTCTTTCGATTCGTGAGATTTTCGAACACGGTTCGCCATGGTGTTTAAATTTGTCTCACGATGTCGCATCCTATGGACGACGATGCGTGAGTGGCGGAATTCTTTGCAGAGATTTAAAGATT